TAAGTTTTATTCCCAAGTATTTTATATCTCTTTCTCTCCATATAAAGGGGAATTCCTTTTGTATTTTTTCTTTTTCGTCCTTTGGTATATTCATATTCAGAATCTCCGTTTTTGTTGGATTCATTTTTAAGTTCGATAGTTCTCCATATTCCTTCAGAAGCCTCATTATATTTTGGGAGTGTTATCTGGGGGTTCCCCACATATAACAATAAGTCGTCTGCAAAGGCTGCTACTTTATGTTCTGTGGTTTCTGTCTGAATTCCCTTTACATCTCCGCTTTTCCTTATCGTAGACAACAGGGGTTCCAGTGATAAAACGTACAACAAAGGGGAAAATGGGCATCCCTGTCTTGTACCATTTGACATCCTAATGGGTTCCGATTTCTCCCCATTTACCGTGATAATTGCGGTAGGCTCCCTATATAATTTTCCTATCCACTCTCGCATTCTCTCTCCTATCCCCCAGAACTTCCAAGTTATCCATCATAAAGCCCCAGTCAACTCTATCGAATGCCTTCTCGGCATCAATTGATAACACTACCACCGGAGCTTTCCCTTTTCTACTTTTCTGGATAAGCATCAGAGTTCTCAACCCGTTATCTCTACCCTCTCTCCCTGGGACAAAGCCCACCTGGTCCCCATGTATCCATGTATCCATTCAGGCATTAAATATTTCAACCTATTTGCCAGAACCTTTGCGTATAGCTTAGTGTCAGTGTTCAGTAATGAAATTGGTCTGTAACTAGAGCACTGAGAAGCATCTTTTCCCTCCTTGTGAATAAGTACTACATGGGCCTGTAAAGATTCTCACCTCCATCCCACCTCCCAAAGCATTCATATATTTCTTTAGGTAACAATAATTCACTATATTTTTTATAGTACTTCACTGTATACCCATCTGGTCCTGGACTTTTCCCGGCCCCTGTACTCCTTAATGCTGCTTTTATTTCTTCCTGAGTAATTTCCACATCCAAGGAGTTCAGTTGTGCTTCGCTTAATTGCGGTAGACCCACATTTTTTAGATATATCTTCCTTTTTTTCGATGTTAGCCTCTTCAATATCTTTCAAAGAACCTTGGGGATTAATGTTATACAGCTTTCTATAGTACTCCGTGAACACTTTAATAATCTCTTTAGTTGAGTAGACCAACTCCCCCTTGGGACTTTTTGTTTTATCTATATAATTCCTGTTTTTCTTTTTACTCAGGGCTCTCATTAAATATTTTCCTGGTCTATCTCCCCATCTATATCTCTCACTTAAAACTTTATTGTATACTCTCCTCCTCTCCTCTTCCATCAACATCTCTAGCTCTTCTTTCTTACTTATTAACCTCTGCCTTATTTCTTTTGTTATTTTATTCTTGTATATCTGATCCACGTCTAATATTTCTTTTAGAAGCCCACTAATTTTTTCTCTCCTTTCTTTTTTCTTTTTTGCTCCAATCGCAATCAAGATTCCTCTTATGGCTCTTCCAGACTGTAGCTATCGACACCTCCTCTGTCTCGTTCTCCTCAAAATATAGCTTAATCTCTTCCCCAATCTTCTGAGCAGTATCCTCATCCAGGAGAAGAGCCTCATTTAACTTCCATCCTAAACCTCCCGTCCACTGCCTTCCCCACCCCATTTTCATTACGACAGGTGCGTGGTCCGAGAGTGTCCTTGCCTCTATTTCTATTTTAACCAAAAATTCAATAAGTTGGTGATTTATTAATATATAATCCAATCTCGAGTACATCTCATGTGCATTTGAGAAGAATGTATAGTCTCTATCTTTCATATGCATAATTCTCCAGATGTCATCCAGTTGGTACTCGTGGATCACCTTCTTCAGAACTCTTGAGACCCCCCTTCCCTCTGCACATAAGAGGTTGCATCCTTTTCTGGGTCCATACAAAAATTAAAATCTCCCGCTACTATCAAACGGCCTTTTTTAAAGTCCATTAGTTTTTTTCAACACACCTTTCAAAAACATCTCTGGTTTCTTATTGACTAATATACACTCGATTCCTTGTAGTTTACCTTTTAAAAACAAGAATCTCCCCTCCAGGTCAGTCTTTCTATCCTCCAGCTCAAATCTTATATTCTTTGCCAACCTTATTGCAACCCCTTTTGCTCTTTTAATTGGAGAGTCGGCATAATACCATATTGGATAATATTTCGATTTTAATTTCACGTTTGACTCTATCTCAAAATGTGTCTCCTGCAAAAATACCACTGAAGATGCTCTGTGATGTAACTCTTTAAATAATCGAAATCTTTTCTCAGGACAATTCAACCCATTCACATTATACGTTATAAACTGTATTTCTTCCATCCTTCTTAAGTCTCTCTACCTCTCCTTCAATTCTCCTCCCCCTCTGTCCTTGCTTTTATACCCCCCTCTATCATGCAGAGTATTGACCCTAAAAACCCCCCCCCCCCACCCTCCAACCTAACCCCCCCCCCCCCCCCCTCCCTCCCATTGTTTTCCCCTACCCCTTTTTAGGCTTGTAAAATGCCTACTAATCATTTGTGGGTCTATTCCCACCTTTGATTTAAGACTTTGGGGTTGGCCTCCGCCCATGAACGGCTCACCTCTCCTCCAACCTCCCCAGTTTCCCTCTCTCTATCAAATTGACTCAGAAAATTTCCACTACCCCCCACCAGCCGGAAACTCCGGAGGGGGTACCATATCATCAGAAGGGGAAGAGAGAGAGAGAGAGGGACAAAAAAAAAAAAAAAACCCTAATTCTCCCCCCTCTCTCTCTCTCCCTCCCCCCAAGCCCCCCCCCCCCTTCCTCCCCTGACCCGCTGCCAGTCCTCTTTCCTTATATCTTCTATTTCTCGTTTTTCTTCTTCCCATCCAACTATCTCCATTCTTTGCAAGTCCAGTTTGTCACAAAAATCTCTCAGTTCCTCCGGAAATCTTAAGTAAGCTGTAACTCCATTTCTCCATCCAGTTAGGCATTCTGGGATTCCCTATCTATACTGCACATTCTGCTTTCTCATTTGCTTCAACAAGAGTCTCAGGGATCTCCTTCTCCATAGGGTCTCTGGTGTTAAGTCTGCATATATTTGGATATCTATATCTCCATACTTAATTGTTGATCTTCCTTTGATCTTCCTCCAGATCTCATCTTTATCCCCAAACTTTTGAAATTAGACAACTGTATCTCTCGGTCTCTCCTTCCCATTAACCTGTTTGAACTTTCGTATTCTGAACATTCCATCCAATTTAGTCACGTCTGGTTCAGATCTGTCCATTATGGAGTTTAAATTTTACTAACTAATTCATACAATGTTTCCACTTTTGCAGACTCTGGAATTCCTCGTACCCTGAGGTTACTCCTTCTTTCTTTATTTTCTTGTACTTCCATCCTATAAAGCAATTTTTTCTGAGTGATCCCCATATTTGTTATTTTCTTTTCTAATTTAACTATGGTTTGGGCCTGATTTTTAACTTTCTCTTCCGTTTCTTCCCACTCTCAATAACGGATGCCCTAAATCATTCCGAATAGTTGTGATTTCTTGCTTTATCATTTTCTCCAAACTTTGAAACATTTCTGTCATCTTTCTTATTTGGTACTTGTAGTTCGCCGTCAGATTCTTTTTTTCTCCATACTATCTCCATTTGTTGACTACAGCTGCTATTCATGACCAATGATAATCTAGGGCTATTTCCCAGACTAGTTTCCATTTCACCTTTTTCACTAGCGCCTTGGGACCTTTCTGGAGTAATGTTTCCTTGAGATGTGTATTTCTTAATCGTACCCGTTTGGGACCCTTTGAGCCATACTCCTTTTAGCTCCTTTATTCTTCATGTCCTCTCTGGGTCTTATTTTCTTCTATATTCTCAAGACAGGTATATACCAAATGTCTTTAATTTGTGACCCAGCCTTGCCTTACTATTTTTTCTTTTACTTTGCTTTTCTGAATCTCCTTGGTCCTCTTCTCCACCCTTGGGAATCCCCCCTTCCTCTCCTTCACCTTTTGCTCCTCTGTCACACAAGATTACAGTACACAAAAAGTCCCAGCCGCTCTCACTCACCCTACTCTTTTTTCCTTTTCTAGGCAGCGGCTTCGGGTGGAGGGATTTCCTCAGCAGCTCAGTCCTAGGGGGATTCCTCCAGGTCTCCTGCACTTTTCAGTTATTTGGGGTCCATCCTAAGGTAACAGGCTGGGTCTCTTGGGTCTCCTGGGTCCAGGACCAGTCTGCAAGCCGGGGAACGAAGCCAGGAGTGAACCGGCACCTCCCTCTCTCCTCGGGACGCTGGCCGGCTTCCTCCCAGAGATCCTCCGTGGCTGGTCACGTGGTCCCACCGCGTAACCTCGTCTCCCAGCAGCCCGAATCCTTGTCTCATGAAGCCCCGGGGGGATCGACCTCTCTATCCACCTCACGTCCTGCTCACATCCCCGGCTCTCCGGGCCTCTCCTCCACAGCCCTCCACACTCCGGTGAGTCTGCCCCTTCTTTCAATTGCTCCAGAGTCCCTGGGGAGGTCGGGAAGCGGAGCCTAGCAGAAAGCTAGTGCCTCGCGCTCTCCTCGGCCGCCATGTTCGGGCCAAGATTTGGCAATAAAACCTGGAAGCCGATTGGTTTCTACGTAGAAGTGAGCCTGATGTTGCACTCTCCAGCTTTAGTAAATAAATCCCAATGGCTCATAAAAAAATTTACTTATTCTAAAACTGGTTACATCTCTCTTCACCAGCCTCTAAAATATCCCTTTCAAACCGTTATTAGATAATATAACTTCAGACTTTGACAAGCAAAGGATTTGGTAAATACAGTGAGGAACAGAAGTATCTGAACACCCTGTGATTTTGCAAGTTCTCCCACTTAGAAATCATGGAGGGGTCTGAAATTCACATTGTAGGTGCATTCCCACTCTGAGAGACAGAATTTAAAAACAAAATTCAGGAAATCATCAGAAAAATTTTGTAAATAAGTGATTTTTCTCCTTCACTGATATGCGCTAATGAGGCTGCAGTGATGGGCACTGATAGGTGGCACTGGTAGGTGGCACTGATGGGCATTGACAGGCATCACTGATGGGCACTGAATGGCAGCACTCATATATGGCACTGATAGGTGGCACTGACTGGCACTGTTAGGTGGCACTGAAAGGCAGCTCAGATGAGCACTGATATTTGGCATTGATGTGCACTGGTAGGCACTGATATATGGCATTGATGTGGCACTGATGGGCACTGGCAGGTGGCACTGATGAGCACTGACAGCTGGCATTGATGGGGCTACACTGATCATCAAGGCGCACTGATCAGCAGTGCCCTGGTGATCAGTGTAGATGTCCCCTCCGAGGAATGCCGATTTACCGGCTCTCCTCTCAAGCTGTCAGCGTGACAGCTCGTGAGGAGAGAAATGCCAATGCATTTCCCTGTTTACATGAGATCAGCTGTGATTGGACACAGCTGATTACATGACCGAGACGAATTCTTCGGCTCTTTCAATCTCTCATTTTCCTCTGATAATTCATCACAAAGTTTATATTTCTCAATCAAAGCTTCTCTAATAGTAACTGCATGCAATTTAAAATTTACAATCGCAGTTTTTTTTTTTTTTTTTTTTTTACTGCTCCCTGACTGCCCTATAGCAGAATTACTGCTGCAGGGCTGGGCAAAATCAACTGTGTGTATATATATGTGATTTTGTATTTCCAGGTAGTGGGCGCGTGCCGCCCTACCCACGCTGCCATTGGCAGCTTCAGCTGTCCATCACCGGGTCCCGCCCGGAGATTCCCCGCTGACACCCGATGATCGCTGAGGAACAGTGACAGAGGAGAGGTCTGTATGTCAACAATACAGATCTCTCCCCTGTCAGCTCCAGCACACTGATTTGTATTGCTGTGCATAGCAGGAGGGATTTTGGCCCACTCCTCTTGGCAGATCCTCCCCAAGTCATTAAGGTTTAGTGGCTGACGTTTGGCAACTCAAACTTTCAGCTCCCTCCACAGATTTTCAATCTGATTAAGGTCTGGAAACTGGCTAGGCCCCTCCAGGACCTTAATGTGCTTCTTCTTGAGCCACTCCTTTGTTGCCTTGGCTGTGTGTTTTGGGTCATTGTCATGCTGGAACACCCATACACGACCCATTTCAATGCCCAGACTGAGGGAAGAAGGTTCTCACCCAAGATTTGACGGTACATTGCCCCATCCATCATCCCTTTGATGCCGTGCAGTTGTACTGTCCCCTTAGTAGAAAAACACTCCCAAAGCAGAATGTTTCCACCACCATGTTTAACAGTTGGGATGGTGTTCTTGGGGTCATAGGCAGCATTCCTCCTATCACGGCGAGTTGAGTTGATGCCAAAGAGCTCGATTTGGTCTCATCTGACCACAACACTTTCAACCAGTCCTCCTCTGCATCATGCAGATGTTCAGTGGCAAACTTCAGATGGGCCTGGACATGTGCTTTCATGAGCAGAGGGACCTTTTTTTTTTTTTAAATTTCCAGTGTATATATACCGCCATTTTTAGATGCTATAACTTTTACGTAAACCAATTAATTTACACGTATTGGGAATCTTTTAAGCAAACACATGTAGCAGAATACATTTTGGCCTAAATGTATGTTGCATGACCCCGCAATTGTCAGTTAAAGTAACACAGAGCCGTATCACAAAAAATGGTCTGGTCAGGAAGGGGGGTAAATCCTCTGGAGAGCAAGTGGTTAACATTTCACAGAGCTTATTGCTACTGCATTCTGAAACTGGACAATGTCCTTGTCTTTACCCCTTAGAGAATCTGGCTGGCAACATTCAGGGTTCAAGGGGGTCCAGGGGGCAAGTACAATCCAGATGACTATGGTGGAGCAACTTGACCCCCCTCCTGCTTTCCCTCTTCCCTGCCTTTTCCCAACCCCCATCCCAGGCTGAAGCTCCCCTCCAAGTACTCTCTGCTCACTGAGTTGGTCGGGCCTGCTGCACCAACTCAGAGTTCATGAACTTGCCGGCAGGGAGTGGCTGGGGGCTGCAACGGGTACATTTTACTCCTCTTCAACAGGAAGCCTTGGGGTGTGCACTCTGAAGCTCAAACACACAAGTATATATATATTTATACATATACACACAGACACTCTTAAGCAGCCCATAGATTATACAATTTTGTTTTCTTCCATCACAGGTTGAAGTTCCTGATGAACTGGCCAAATTTCGAAGGAAGGAAAGGGAAGGGAGGAAGAAATATCTGCAGAGCCCCACCCTTTCATCAGCATTACAGGAGTCACTGTGAGGCAGGAGATAGAAGGGAGGGGGGACTCTACACTCACGGAGGGTGGATGGATCAGTAGGCTGCACCTTTCCTCTGTATGTCATGTACCTCAGGTTACTATTATTATAATACAGGATTTATATAGCTCTAGCAGTTTGCTCAGTGCTTTACAATATAAAGGGAGACAATACAGAAACGATACAGTTCAATACAAGAGGGTTAAGAGGGTCCTGCTCCTTGGAGCTTACAGTCTAAGAGGTGGTGTTACAAAAGGTAATAACTGTGGGGGATGAACTGATAGGAGGAATAGAAGATTCCGTTATTAGCTGAAGGCGGGATAGGCTTCCCTGAAGAGAGAGGTTTTCAGAGATCGCCTAAAAGTGGGCAGAGTAGGCGATAGTCGGATAGGTTGGGGTAGAGAATAAGTTCCAGAGGATGGGGGAGGCTCTAGAGAAATCCTGGAGATGAGCATGGGAGGAGAGATCAGGAGGTCATGGGAGGAGTGGAGAGGACGATTCGGGTGATATTTGGAGACAAGATTGGTGATGTAATTTGGGGCAGAGTTATAAATGGCTTTACATGTTCTTGTTAATGTTTTGAATTTGATTTGTTGGGCAATGGGAAGCCAGTGGAGGGATTGGCAGAGAGGGATGGCAGATATGGAACGGTTAGTAAGATGGATGAGTCTGGCAGCAGCATTCATGATAGACTGAAGAGGGGATAGCCTTCGATTAGGTAGGCCAGTGAGGAGGGAGTTACAATAGTCAAGGCAAGAGATAACAAGGGAGTGAATAAGTTGCTTTGTGGTGTCGGAGGTTAAGAACGGGCGTATCTTGGAGATGTTTTGGAGGTGAAGTCTACAAGATTTGGACATTGTTTGGATTTGGGGCTGAAAAGACAGATGGGAGTCTAGGATTGTCCTAGTACCCTAGCATGAGGGGAGGGACTGATGGTTGTATTATTGATCTTGATGGAGAAGTCAGGGAAGGGGGCACGGGCTGGAAGGAATAGTATGAGCAAGAGGAGATTGAAGGGGTAAGGTGAGGAGTAGAAACATAGATTTGTGTGTCATCAGCATAGAGATGGCACTTAAAGCCATGGGAGATTATCAAGTGACCAAGGGAGGAGGTGTAGATGGAGAAGAGAAGGGGTCCAAGGACAGAACCTTGAGGGACCCCTACAGAAAGAGGACGTGGAGAGGAGGAGACAGTTATAGGTAATGCTGAAGGAGCGTTGCGATAGGAGGAGAACCAGTAGAGAGCAGAGTTTCTGAGGCCAAGACAGTGGAGTTTTTTGAGGAGGAGGAGGGGATGGTCAACAGTATCAAAAGCTGCACGCAGAGGTCAAGTAGAATATAGAGTAGTGGCCATTGGTTTTAGCAAATAATTAATGAATTTTAGTAGGGCAGTTTCAGTGGAGTGTAGTGAGCAAAAGCCAGACTGTAAAGGGTTGTCAAGAAGGTTGTTGTCAGTGAGGTAGGATCTCAGAAGATTGTAGATTAAGCATTCTAAGAGTTTAGAGGTAAATGGGATCAGGGAGATGGGTCTTAAGTTGTTCAGGTTGGTGGGGTCCAGTGAGGACTTTTTAAGTATGATCTGTGCATGCTTTAGAGGGGTGGGGAAGGCACCATTAGAGAGGGAGAGATTGAAGATGTGAGTGAGGGAGCATATGACAGAGGAAGAGGGTGACCGTAGTAGTTGAGAGGGGACAGGATCAAGGGGGCAGGTGGTGAGATGGGCTTCTGAGAAAACCTTTGTGACCTCTTCAGTAGTTGCAAGGTCAAATGAGGAAAGTGTTGAGGGAGGTTTAGTATAAGGTATGCTAAGTGGGATATATGTCTGTGCAGTGGAGATGACGCTACGAGTTGCATCAATCTTGTTTTTGAAATGATTTGCAATCTCGTAAACAGTGAGTGACTAGGTGGAGAAAGTAGAGAGTTAAAAGTAGAGAAGAGACGACAAGGACTGGATGACAAGGTATTAATAAGAGTGACAAAGTAGGCTTGTTTGGCAGCTTGGAGGGAGGAATTGTATGTTAAGAAAGCAAATTTATATAGGGTGAATTCTTGCTGAGATTTGGTTTTACGCCACATTTGCTCCAGTGCATGACTATGTCGCTTAAGATTTCTGGTGTCATCAGTCTGCGACGGTTGTAATGGTCAGAGCCTTATACTTCGTGTAGTTAGAGGAGCAAGTGAGTCTAGTGTGGATGAAAGCGCACTGTTGTAGACAGCAGTGGCCAGGTCAGGGCAGGACAGGGGAGAGATTCTGACATAGAGGCGGTCAGTTATAGAGTGGAAAAGAGAAGGGTTTAATGCAGTCCATAGACTGCTCAAAAACCGTGCATTTTTTTGAACGATAAACAAAAAATCGGTAATTCGTTAAACTGACGTAACCACCAACGATTACAAAAATCGGCCGACCAAGTCAAAAAGTTCACCCCATATAACAGCCAAAACTTCTCCTTTCTCAAAACTTTTTTCCTTCCAGGTCACGGCTCATGCGCATATTTTTTTTTCGTTAAAACGATCGTACGATTTGTCCACCATTGACGTGAAAATCGGTCGTTTTCCACAAATTTTCCAACATGACCGATAATCCAAAAGTGCAAAAAAACCCGAAAACCGGCCGACCAATTAACCCACTAACAGTGCGAAAATCGTCCGATTAACCTTTCGGACGAAAAATCGGCCGATTTTCGAACCGTCTATTGCCGGCATAAGTTGTGAAGGTTTCTGTGGGTAATTGTTTGCTGCTTGGAGGGATAAGTGTTTGAAAACAAGGACACTGAAGGTGATGAGATTGTGATCAGAGAGATCAAAGGGAGTGTTGGTGAGGTTGTAGGGAGTGCAAAGATGGGAGAAAACAAGGTCTAATGTATTCCCATCAGAGTGAGTGGAGGACTGTATCCATTGTGTTAAGGCAAAGGATGAGGTTAGGTTGAAGATTTGGGATGTAGCCGGGTTGTTCACACTAATGGGGATGCTAAAATCTCCAAGAATGATAGTGGGTATTTCAGAAGAGAGAAAGTAGGGTAGCCAAGCAGAGAAGTCATCAAGAAAGCGCGACACCGGTCCAGGTGGCCGGTTTATCACTGCAATCCTCAGAGAAATGGGAGAAAAACAGCCGAATGTAGTGAGTCTTGAAAGAAGAGAAGGATAGAGAGGGAGGGTTAGGAAAGACTTGAAAGGTGCTCAGTGGGGATAGAAGCAAACCAATT